AAATTATTGTGTAATTGATTTACATGTCATTGGGAAATTAGAATATACATAAATAAATAACATGAAAATAATTGAAATGTTTTTAGATCCCCAATGTATATTGTGTGCCTTGGAAGATTTTGTGGTTGTAATTGTTTTAGGATTTTAATTAGAATTTATGGGGGAGATTTGCAATAGAGTATTTTGGAAATTATGCGTGAAAATCATCTAAATGTTAAATAATTGCAATTTTAGGTGCTAATTCCAATTGTCACTGTTGCATAAGGTTCAAAAATAGAAAGAAATAGGATAGCAAACTGGAAAGTTGTAGGTACTGTAAAGAGAAGGAAAATATGGAGAAGATGTAGTTACTCTCTTCTAGGATTTGAAAGTTAAAAATGTTCCAAGCACAATATATTGAATCTGTTCCCCTCTTCTTCTTTGTGAAATAAATGGCCTTGGTCCGATACTCCAAATATTTTTTTATTGGCTTGGTATGGTTGTGATACAGCCGCTTCTTGATGATTTACCTAAACTATCATCCTTTCTCATAATATGGAGATGATATAATATTTGTCACTCGAAAGGCTATTCATCATAAATTACTGAGCCATGACTCAATATCCGTTGATGGCAGAATGGAGCCAACATCATATTTTGAGAAACTTGCCAATTATTCATCACAGGTTCTAACTATATAATTGATTGACCCAGGTTTCCTAAAACGTAAAAACTTGATATTTTGAGTTCTCGTTGGGTTAGCTCTCCTTCTGCTAATATTTATCATATAACGGACATTCCAAGTAGTGCCATACTGATATTCCCACCCAGTTGGTTGCAATTTGATGTTTTGGGATTTCGATTGAATGAATAAAAAATGGAACAACAATATAACTTTCTTATTCCCAAAAAGCGGTTCTACTGACCTTGAGTGTTGTGAAGATCCAACTCGTATTTTCCTCCCAACATGGCTTTAAATAGAAATTTTTGAAGTCTGCCCATATTTAATGTGGAGGTAAAGGTTTTGAAATAGTCTCCTTTTAACTATAGCATTTTGGCCACGGGATAAACTAGGGTACTTTGGGTAAGTAATCATTAGAAGCTAACTAAAATATTCATTATTTTCACAAATTTCGGCAGATGACACAAACTTATACCCAGGATTTTATCACAACTTAATTTTCCAATTCTCAAAAAAAAAAAAAAAAAAAAAAAATGAAGCAACTGAACCAAAATAAGGCGTATTCAAGGCAAATATTTGTTGCATTTTATAATAAACCATTAGGGCTACAATCATGGTAAAATTAAGAAGGTAAAACCATTTCAAATAATAATATCCATCTCTGCATTTTCTGTAGTTTAGCTTTTCAAATTTCACTGGATTCTTAAATATACATTTTGAAATTGTCAAATGAATAATTTTGAAAAAATTGCAAACTTATAGCATGACTTTACCTTCTTGGTTTTACCATGGCAACAATCATGATTTTTAGAATATTTTAAACAGGACTATCAGACTAAAATTTGCTATGATTGCAAATTTTTTAATGAATGTTTTGTTACCGACTGATGTGGCCATATGTATTTTATAGCACATTTTTTTCAGGAGGATTACATTAAATTTGTTTTCAAGGGCCATTATTTGCGAATGTATAAAAGGATATATTCATTGTCAAACATTATCACTTTTTAAAGTCCTATGAAAAAGTATATACATTTTTAATTCAAGGACCTAAGTGGCAGTTAACCTGGATTTTTCAGGACCAAGAGAACATCAAATATTTTTCAAGGACCACTGAAGATTTTAAGAAATATGAGCAGTATACGGGTGGATTTAAAAAAATGAAGGACGAACATGAACTTTTTAAAGAATATTTTTTAACACAAACAAACCATCGCATTAGGATTTTCAACGAAGAATTTTTCAAGGAACAAAACCATTAATCTTGATTAAAATTGTAAGATCTACAGATTTATAATCATAATCCTTTTAAAAAATATATTTTAAAGACCTATCAGTGACTTTTATACCCTCCACCATACAATGGAGGGTATATTAATTTTGTCATTCCGTTTGTAACTCCTCGAAATACTCATATCACACCCAACAAAGTATATACATTCTTGATTAGCGTAAAATTCTAAGACGATTTAGCCATGTCCGTTTGTGTGTCTGTCTGTCTGCCCTTCTGTCTGTCTGTTGTAATCACGCTATCTTTCGAACAAATTGAGATAGAAGGCTAAAATTTTGCATACATGTATATTTTGCCAGTGGACAGGTTAAGTTCGTAAATGGGCCAAGTAGGTCCACGTCTGTCTGTTGTAATCACGCTATCTTTCGAACAAATTGAGTTAGAAGGCTAAAATTTTGCATACATGTATATTTTGCCAGTGGACAGGTTAAGTTCGTAAATGGGCCATGTAGGTCCACGTCTTCGTATAGCCCCCATATAACGGTACCTCCCGATATTCGGTATTTTGATGATTTTAGCGACATTATTTACCGTGATTGTTTCAAATTTCGCATGTGAAGTTCGTAATGGATACTTCAGCTCACGCCAGAAAATTGTCTGTACAGGTCCACGGTCTTCGTATAGCCCCGATATAACGATACCCCCTATATTCGGTATTTTGATGATTTTAGCTACATTATAAATAGATTTTTCTTCAAGTTTCGCATTTAAATATTGTAATAACTAATGACAAAAGTTGCCTATGCAGGTCCACGTCGTCGTTTAGGCATTCGGTATTTTTAAGATTTTAACAGAATTTTTAACGGATTTTTTTTTTTTTTTTTTTGGAAATTGCCAGATTTGTTCCAAATGGTGGAGGGTATTAAAAGTTCGGCCCGGCGAACTTACAGCTTTTTTACTTGTTTTTCAATACTATTTTTCAATTTTTTTTTTTTTTTAATTAATTCAAATATTTATTGTCCATAAATACTGGTATTTTTAAGCTACACATAGTGGTAAGGGTACTATGTATTTGTGCATTTTTTTTTTTTTTTTTTTTTTGGAACATGCAGGAAGAAGCTATGTAGACACATAGTTAATTTTGAAGATCTTCCTGCAATCACTTTCTGTATGCCAGTCCGTCCGTCTGTCCATGTATTTATGTGAACAAACGGCAGGTCGAGTTTATTATCTGATTGAAATGAAATTTTGCAAACAATATTTGTTTGGCCCAAGAACGAACCATTTTGAGATATAGCTCCCATATACATCTTTAACCGATTTCGCATTAATTGTACACCAAATAGCCAATATCAGTCTAAAATTACCAGAATTTTGGCACATCTGACCGAATTATATGTAGAAGAAAGTACATTTCAGGTCTTTTGTGCTCTAAATGGCTAATATCGACCATTTAAGTATTTTCGACGGTATTCAGCCTTCAAATTTTGACCGAATTTTGACACTCCCGACCGAATTCGGCCTAAAAGCAAGCGCTTCAGGTTTTAGTGAAAATCGATTCAGATATAGCTATAGCTCCCATATGCACGTTTCATCCGATTGGGTGTTAAAGTCCCTCACATACGTACTATTCTCTCCACAACAATGATATCTGATACCGGGTATAAGATACTGCTCGAAAATACCTCTGCCAAATTGTATCCAGATTTTTATATACCTTCTATATACATCTTTATTATACCCTCCACCATGGGTAGGAGGGTATATTAACTTTGTCATTCCGTTTGTAACACCTCTAAATATTCGTCGTAGACCCCATAAAGTATATATATTCATAATCAGCATAAAATTCTAAGACGATTTAGCGATGTCCGTCTGTCTGTCTGTCCGTCTGTCTGTCTGTCTGTCTGTCCGTCTGTCTGTCTGTCTGTCCGTCTGTCTGTTGAAATCACGATACAGCTCACATTATTTGACGTAGACCTTTGAAATTTGGCACAAGTGTGTGTATTGTCCCTAGGATGGTTGGTATTGAAAATGAGATATATAGGTCCACGTTTTGGTATAGCCCCCATATAACGGTACATACCGATATTCGGTATTTTGATGATTTATGCCACATTTTTTCACGGATTTGTCTGAAAATTGGTATTTGTAGGTCATGACGGGTCCCTGAGCGTGTGGCAAAACATTGCATGTATAGGTCCACGTTTTGGTATAGCCCCCATATAACGGTACCTACCGATATTCGGTATTTTGATGATTTATGCCACATTTTTTCACGGATTTGTCTGAAAATTGGTATTTGTAGGTCACAACGGGTCCCTGAGCGTGTAGCAAAACATTGCATGTATAGGTCCACGTTCTGGTATAGTCCCCATATAACGGTACCTCCCGATATTCGGTATTTTGATGATTTATGCCACATTCTTTCACTGATTTGTGTAAAAGTTGGTATTTGTGGGTCATAATGGGTCCTAGCTCGTGTGGCGAGACATTGTAATTATAGGTGCACGTGTTGGTGTAGCCCCTATATAACGGTACCTCCCGATATTCGGCATTTTAATGTTTTTTGGCACATTTTTTCTAATGTTCTTTTACCCTAGGGTGGAGGGTATTAAAAGTTTGGCCCGGCCGAACTTAATGTTTTTTTACTTGTTTTTTACTGTTATTGATCACCATATATGTAATACCAGCCCCAATTGAATAGATTTTTTTTTTCATTTTCAACCGATATTAAACTCAGACCGGTATTCTTATCGAAGTCATATCATACACTATACAGCAATGTTATTTGGTTCAGAGATGGTATGACCTACTTCACATAAATTCCCAATATACTCTACTAAATACGTATAGTGGTGTAGGTTATCATGTAGACGGTCCCACCCGACTTTTAACCTTTCCTTATAAGTTTTCTATTAAAAAATGAACAAATTAATGAAAATACTTAGCGAAATTACAAGAATAAATATCTTCTGGAAATTAATATTTTTGCAATTTTGTATATTTTTAGGATATTGAATGATATCTTAATCACTAAAATATTTATGATTGAAAAATATTTATAATATAGAAAATAATTAGGAAAGATAAAATTTGTCTACTCACCCATATTTAAATAAAATACAGCTGTCACAATGTACTGACACAAATGCATTTGTTGCAAATGCATTTTGATGAATGTTTGCGCAAATCTTATTAAATTTCTACGACGACGAAGATGTTGAGAATGATGAGATTTTTGCAAATTGATAGTAGCATTGATGTGACACAGATGCACTCATACACATACACTTAGAGCGACAGTGGCTGGAGTTTGATGACACATTTCACTTTCGATTAAAAGTTATTAGCGGTGTTTCTGTGTCTGTTTTGTGTGTGTGTGTGTGTGTTTGTTTTCAACTATGCTATGCTGATGTATGTGGGACAGTAGAAAAATAGTATCGAAGCTGGCTAGCATAGATGTAAACGTGATGATATTTTGTAATGGGGAAGGATTCCCTTTTCACAATTTGCCCTTTCGTCCTTTGCTTCCAACTCACACCTCCCTTTTGTCTAGGGCTTTGTCTCTGAGTTATGTCCTTTTTTTGGTTTGTAATGGCGTTTATGGGATATGCTTTTAACGAATTGCTTTAGAATCTATCTATGCTGTTGACTTGATGTTGTTGTTGCTGTTTTTGTTATTGCTGCTGCCCCTATTAACCTGACGCCGTTTCGTCGTAGTTGCTTTGTAAAAAGTTTGCCATAAAAACTGTTTGTTGTCTTAGTTTTGCTTTTAGTTTGTTGCCGTATTTTTTTTTTTTTCTGTTGTATTTTTGTTGTCTGTGTGAAACACTTTTAGGAAATGGCAAAAAATATATATATTTTTATGGTTATATTTTTTTATGTATTATTTTGCGTTTCGTTTGTTATTCCTTTGGTTTGTTATGAAGTCGTTATAATTTTTTTTTTGTTTTGTGGGTGGGGTTTCCCCGCTTTCGCTTTGTTTTGTTTTTTTGAGTGAATTTTTATTTTAATGTTTCTCGATTTGTTTTGAGTTCAGTTGAGTTTTTATGATTTCACAGTGGGAACTGTGGCGTTGATGATGATGTTGCTGTTGTTAATAATTGTAAGAGTTTCATGGCTTTGATGAATCCTTGGATGGGTCTCTGTGTGTGCGTGTGCCTGTGTGGGAGTTGTCTGAATGCTGTAGATAAACGGACGGACTCAAATTTGAAGAGTTTTATTTTTTTATAACTGTTTTAGTGTTTATTGGAAAATATTTGTAATTTGCACCATAATTTTTATTGTTTTTGTTTTTCTTCTTCTTTTTTTATTTCAACGATTTGTTCCGCTTGAGCTCACTTGGTGAGCGAAATTAGGACACCACTGCCGAGCTGTGGTTTATTGTTTTAAAAAATTTCACAAATTTTTATGGCTTCCGTTTATCATTAAGTAAAAGGATTGGAAGGAGTTTTCCTCTCTTTCCTTTTTCTCTCCAGAGCGGGCTGGCAATCACGTCATTTTGTTATTCATGGAAAATTTTATTAATGGCAATTTATGGCGGGGCCAAAGGGTTTTATAACTGCTTTGTTTAAAATGCCAACTGGTATTTTGGATTTTTTTTTTTGGTTTTTTAACACTTTTTGCTCCTTTGGACTTATGAGGCCTCAACACTTCATATTTTTTTTATTTTTTTATTTTTTTGTTTTAAAATTTCACCCCCCTTTCGAAGGAGTCATAAAATTGTTTCCGTTTTTATGATTATGACAAGCAATGTCTTTGGTTTCCTTGGCTTAAGAAAAAATACAAAGAAAATGAAAACAATACAACTTTGCTCTCCCAAGGCTTATTTAACCAAAAACTGCAACCAAATATTCAATGCACAATTGCTTATTTCTTATCAAAGAGCTTGGTATTCGAATTCAGAAATTTTTTTGGATTCTTGGTTAGGTTTTTTCTTTCTTGTTTCTTGTCTTCCGTATTGCACCACATCCGTTTTAATATCACTATTTACGTGTTTTTCTCCTCTTTTATTTATTGTGTTTACATTTTTCCATAGTCGATGGCAATGTATCTCCTCTCTGTCTTTGTCTCTCTCTCAAAGGACTTGAAAATTTATTGTTATGGTTCATTTGTTTATTGTGTATGTTTTTTGTTGTTGTTCTTGTTGTATTCCATAAAATTGTTTTCCTTGCTCAGTGGAACCATTGTTGTCTCACACTGTGGCTGTGGCTGGCCAATTCATTCATTCGTTCGTTTCTTTGTACATACCATGTACCCATTGGCTGGCTGACTGTGTCCTTCCGAAATCTGTAAAAAGACAAGCAAAGTCGTAACACCGTATGAGCATTGTGGCAAAACAAAACAAAAAAACAAAGCAAAGGTACAATGATTTTTATTGTTTAACAAGAATATATCGATTTTGTATTCTAAGATTTATTGTTACAGCTTCACAATTGGTATAATATTTTCGTTTTTTCGGCTCTGTTTTGTTTTTGGTTCAATAGCTAATTGGAGAATTGTGGAAAATATAGATGGGTAATTTGGGAAAAGTTTTCTGTGAACGCCACTCCTAATCATTTTAGATTTGTCTGGACACAAACATTAAATGGGATGCCTTTTTTTATTCTCTGAGGGGTATTATAAGTTTGATTGGGCCAAAAATTATGTAACACCTCAAAATGGTCCAAACATAGGAAAAAATATATGGATCTTCCTATCTGGCCGATTGGAGTTGATCTAGCTATGTATATCCGTCTGTCCGTCTATCCATGTTAACTTGTAATCCCTCTAAGGGTCACAATTATGACACATTCGATCACGAAATATAGCATGGAGATGGGGCTAGGGTCAGAATAGAAGTCAATTGTTTTTGGAGACGATCGCATAATATTTAGGGGTTGAAATGGATAAAAAATAGAAAAAATTCTGATTTTACAGCTATTTTACAAGTCGCAATTACAGACCAATCGACGCGAAATTTAGCATGGGGCTAGAATTTAGAGCTGTTTAGAAGTCTACCATTTTGGCTTGGCCACCGGATAATATTTAGCGGGTAAAATGGAACATAACTTTTATGTAAAAAATACAAAAATTTTCAAATCACAAATGCACGAAAATATAACTTCTGACCGTTACATTGATTCTCATATCCAATATATCGCATCTATAGCACAATACAGGGTGAGATTAAAAGAAAACTGCAATAAAGTCAAACGCTATATTATTTTAATTTTTATATCCTACACCATAGTATGGAGGGTGTATTAAGTTTGTCATTCCGTTTGTAACACCTCGAAATATACATTTTAGACCCCACAAGGTATATATATTATTAATCAGCATAGAATTCTATGTCGATTTAGCAATGCCCCTCCGTCTGTCCGTCTGTGGAAATCATTCTAGCTTTCGAAAGAAAGGAAGTAAGTTGATAAAAATTTACTCAAATGTGTATTATGTCTGAAGGACTTTTGGTATTGAAAATGGGCCATGTAGGTACACGTCTTCGTATAGTCCTCATATAACGGAACCCCTCGATATTCGGTATTTTGATGATTTATTTATTATTTACCGGAATTGTTTAAAATTTCGCATTTGAAGTTCGTAATGGATACTACAGCCTATGACAGAAAATTGTGCGTGCAGGTCCACGTTTAACAATCCCCATGGTACCTCTTTATATTCGGTATTTTGATGATTTTAGCTACATTATAAAGATATTTCTTTTGAAGTTTCGCATTTGAATATTGTAATAGCTTATGACAAAAGTGGCCTATGCAGGTCCACATCATCGTATAGACCCTAATATACTGCTACATTCGGTATTATTAAGATTTTAACATAATTTTTAAAGTATTTTATAATTTTGAAAATTGCCAAATTTATACCAACTTGTGGAGGGAATTCAAAGATCGGCCCGGCCGAACTTACAGCTTTTTTTTTAATTTTATTGAATGAAAATAAAAAAAATCTCAGAAATAGCATCAAATTTTAGAATATGTTTAGTTTTTTTTCGAATTGATCTACTTTGGCACGAAATATGGCCTTTAAACGGCCAATGAAACCGTCACACCCTGCCCGAATGTTGCTCTGCGGTATTTTGGCCCATTCCCGGCGAAGCGATTGCTTGAGGTGATCGTCACTTTGGTATATTTTAGTGCCAACCTTGCATTCCAAAATACTCCAGACACAATAGTCCATCGGATTGGTATCCGGATATTTTGGTGGTCAGTGTGCGTTGGATATGAAGCGAGGGACCACATCTTGTAACGCGTGCTGAGTGCGATGGTGCTGAGTCCTGTTGGAATGTCCAAGGCCTGCCGTCAAAATATTTGTGTGCCCAAGACTTTAATACACCCTCCAGAATATTTCAGCGATAATATTCAGCATTTATTCTGATGCCACGATCGAATAATACGAGCGGAGAGCGGCCATCGGCTGTTATGGCGGCCCACATCATCACCATAGGCGGCGCTTGAGTTCTGGTGGCCAACTGAAGGTGCACATTTTCAGCTGATCTCTTCGGCAAGTATACAGGATCATTTTGTTTGTTTACAAACTGCTGGACAAGGAATGTTTTGTCATCGGAGCATCGGAGAAAACCAAATTCGGCAGTTCACCACTTTCATCCTAGCGAAACAATTCTTTAGCTCTTTTGAGTCTATTTTCTTCCTGTTGCGGTATTAGTTCTTGCACTTTTTGGAATTTCAATGGCTTTACTCCTAGCTGCATGTTTCAATATTTGCCGAATGGAATATTGCGATATGTTCAGCTCACGAGCCATTTTTCGGCCACTGCGATGTGGGTTTCGATCAAGTCGCTTCTTTACTTTTCGAACCATTTCTGCTGATGTTGCTTTTTTCTTTCGTCCACTTCCTTGACGTCGGGCTACACTACCAATATCACTGTAACGAGCGATGGTACGAGACACAAAAGATTTATTTACATTTAAATGCTGGAGTGCTCTAACGATAGCCAGTTGTGGTTTTCCAGCGAATTATAAAGAAACCACACTATCACGCTTGATTTCCACCTCGAATAACTTTTTCTCAACAAAATACTTTTGTATGCTTTTAAAAAAAATGTAATGAGCTGTCACTATAATAATTTTAACAGCTGTCGGACGAGTGGCTTAGTAATGACAGTGGTCTGGAGTTGGTTGCAGATTTTTCATCTTACCCTGTAGTTTTAGGAAATCTTAAAAATCTAGGGGGAAGTTCTGGGAAATTTTCCGGAAAAAATATAGAAACTTTTTTGTTTGCAGTCCAGGATTATTGCTCGAAAATTTGTTTCTGAAAATGCAAATATTTCCTTTTGCAGATATTTCTCCTGCAAATATTCACACAGATTCCCAATTTTTTTGCTTAAGAAACTGTTTTGAAAAATTCGCTTGCAATTCTTCAAGTCGTGGAATGGAAAATATATACTGTTTCATAGCGCAGAAAATACAGGAGTATTGATACAGAAAATATTTTATAAGATCCAAAAAAATTATTATTATAAAAATATAAAAATTTGTCATTCCTTGTACCGTATAAGTTCTTCTACAAAGTAAGCGTAACATATTTAGAAATTTCCGATTCAGCAACATATCAGAGTCCGATATCCTCCTCATAATTCAAAACAATAACCTCCAACAACCAAACCATATATGCCATCCATTCCCTCTATCCATTTTTTCAATAACTACAAGCAAAGCATATTCAAATTTCCAAACTTTAAGCTAACAACGAAAAATAAATCCATGTTGATATCAGCATCCCAAAAAAAGAGTGGCCAGCTTGTAATATTTTATTTTGCACAAAGCACTGATTTGTCCTCGACAAATTTGTTTATTCATTCATTCTTCTCGTTCGTTCGTTCGGTTTTTTTTTTGTTTTTGCTTTTTGTTGACCCAATTATACATATTTTTCGGTGTATGCAGTATGTTATTCATTTTGGTATTATAATCCCTTCTTTGTTTTATGCACACAATACACAGAGAATGCATTAAAAAACATATTTAAATATGCCACGAAAAAAAAAAAAATAAAATAACCCGTTTTCCAACACCAAGCGAAACAACAGCCACCAATGGCTGCCACGCTTCTTCAGTTTCGCCGAAAAGACCGCAATTAATGCATGCCAAAAATTTCGTATGAAAAAACCAAAAACGACAACGAAAATAACAACATCAACGACAGGAATAAAAATGTGTCTTTTGTGTGGTACTTGCGGCAAAAATGCCAGCCTTTGTATTTAAACATCATCACACAAATGAACAACGGACACCAAAAACAAACAGAAATGGAAAAAAACTGAAATGAAATACCAAAAAAATATTTTTCAATATTCATGTACGCCAAAAATGTCGCTTTATTATACTTATATGTAAATGTCTATGCTAGTGTGTGTGTGTGTGTGTGTGTGTGTGTGCATTGGCTTGTTTTTAATACACATATTATATGAGGAAAGAGATCTCTATGTATATGTAAATATGTGAATGAGTTTCCGGTATTTCAAACGGAAGTTATTATTCAGAAGAGTTTTTTTCACTCTCTCTCTCTCGGTATTTTTGGTAATGAGAGGTATTTTACAATTTGTATGGAATTTCATACACAGCATGAAGGCTTTTGGATATTGGTTTTCAAAAAAAGGAAGAGAAAACTCTATTCGGTTATTAAAACCACAAAATTGAGCTGTGTGAGAAATTACACACACACACAAATAGTTTGAGGAAGGAAATGGTAGCGTATATTTGTTTTGTTTGATGACAATTTTTTTTTTCGATTTGACTATGGGATTTGTGAAGGTACAAAACAATAGAAGCCTCCTTTGTACCAACAATCCATGCATTTTTAAACAATTTATGACGCATCCCTTCTAAGGATAACAAAATTATTTTTTTATAGAAATTTCGAGGCCATCTTTCTAAGAAAAAGACGTGGACATTTAGAGAAATCATTTCCAAATATAATGCGCTGGACTGTCTTAATAATTTTTAAAGCCTTTTTTTTTAGAACAATGCGAGAATTTTTTAAATAATATTTGAAGGCCTTCTTTCTATGGATAATGTTTTTTTTTTTAAAACCTTCTAAGGATAATGCAATGCATTTTGCAGGTGATATTTAAAGGGTCTTTGAAAGTGTCCTCTTTAAGGATAAAGTGTTTATTAATACGTTTTGGGGCCTCTTTGCTAAGGATAACGAGTTGATTTTTAAAAGAATCCTAATTCCTCGTTTCTAAAGATCCTAATCCTGAGGAAAAGGGGTGGTTTTTTTTTAAGAATTTTTGAAGCCACAATTTTACGGAAAAGGCGTGG